ATTAAACAGTATAACCAAAACACATAATATACATGCCACTAATAAGTCAAAAGAGACATCAGAGGATGCTCATACTAATTACTGGAGGTAGATCTGAATACTCAAAATGATACTTGCAATACTCCTCACTCCGTATGCTTATCCTTTTCTTTACCTATGCATGAAAAGAATCACACTCTAAGTATAACATAATGAGACATTATAAATAAAACAAGATGATATAAAGTATGAAAATAACTTAATAAATCAAAACAATATAATTTATCAAAATAAATAGTTTGAACTTTCAAATCGACTTAAATAAGTCATTTCCTCATCAGTAAACTTGTAAAACTAATACCTCACATTTTTATAAAATCATAACAACTAATGCTAAATCACACTAATCGATAATATTTCATTTCCATATGATCACATATTCAGTTCTCATAATAAGTACTTTCACATTTCATATTCATAGCCCAATTTATATCTAAAGAGAAAGCAAGGTATGTGAGTCAGTCGAGTGCGCGCAATATGCACTCATAAGTGCCTATATATCAGTAACAGTAACCCGCACTCGGAAGTGCCCATATAAATTACACCATAGGTGCCACACGTGATGTACACAAATGTACAATATCTGTAACAGTAAACAATGTTCACTCCATCTCATGGCATGTCAATTGTACCTACAACTCTCCATACAACATACAATGAGCTTTACGATAAAATCATATCATTTGTATATCTAATATATCCAATAAGTAATATATTTAGCTATCATTGATTGAAAATTAGTATGTTTGGTAGTTCATACCCTAAATTAAATTGTAAAACATTTCAACAAATATTATGGAAATATTCCATAATTTGATTCAAACCTTTCTTTAAAAATCTTCCACGGTTGAATCATTACAAGTATTCCTCAATCAGTTATAATTAAATAAATAAAAATGCACTCACCTTATTTGCTTCACTATCGAACCTTTAACATCAATAACTTTTATTCTCATACTTTATCCTTCGCTTTCGATTCGCTTTGATCACAAGATTTATCATATTCTACACAACATCTTGTACACAACACAAAATTAAAAGTATATGTTAGTATTATACTAACATAATCAAAATCTAGTAATAAAAATTCATAAAATATATTAGATACTTGTTTGATATAAATATCATTTCTTAATTCCATAGCACTTCAACATTTTCAAAATGACACTTCAATTCCTTATATATTCATTTTCATCACCAAGCCACTCAATTTCACAAACTTTACAATTCAATCACCATTTATGAATTCTTTTAGAATTCATACCAACTTTGCTAATCTATTCAAAATGATCCTTCACCATTTTACTCAATTCAAATCCAATACTAAAATTTTCCAGCATTGAAATAATATATTCAATCTAATACATTCACATTTGCAAGCTTGTCATTCAAACACCAAACTTTCCAATCTTTTTGAACTAGCCACCAAACTTTATCAAATTTCCAATTTGGCCCCAAATCAACATTCTAACTTAAAATTCAGCATTCAAATAATAATTTCCAACATAGTACATCAATAATTGAACATTTATATATCAACCCCTAAAATTATCAAAACTTACAAAATGGTCCTTCTACTTTCTTAAAGTTCTAAATTGATCCAAATCAATCTCCAAATCATGTAGAATCATTCTAATATCAAATATAGACCATAGGAAATTTTTGAATATTTCCTCTATTTATTTCATCTTGGCCAAACCTACATATAGCAACAGGGCAAGGTTTTCATTCAATTTCAAGCATGAATTCAAGCTCCTAGAATCAATTTCATACAATTCCAATCATCCCATCATCAATTCAATCCAAATTCAACCAATCTTAAATAACCCTAGGTATGGTCAAAACATATACCCAATTTTTAGATGATTTTGATCATCACATAAGCTTGGAAATTAATCTACAACACCAATAACATAAAAATCAACCTTTAATTCATCATAATTCAATATTTTCTTCATGAACCCTAATCATGAAATTCATCATCCAAGCATGTTTTCCATGAATCAATTATACCAAATGATAGAGATTTTCAAGTAGATTAATTCTCTATCTAATACCTGAATCCAAAAATCAATCATATGAGTTTTATAAATAAAATTGAAAAGCTTTCTTACCTAACAATGGTGGTTCACGGCTCGAGGAAGATGAAGAGAGTAAATTCTTGATTTTTCTATAATTATCTCATAATACACTTGGCTTATTTCTAATATAAATGAATTTAAAATTCATTTAATGTGAAAATATCATTTTACCCTTAATGAAATATGATAATTTCCAAATGCCATCATAATATCTTCCATTTTAATATTCTAAATTCAAAGGTGAACAAACAAAATTGGCTTTCCACCTTTGCCCTTGCAATTTTCTAAAATTACAATTTAGTCACCAAATTTCACAATTTTGGCTTAACATGGAAAATTAACCTTAATTCCATTGATCCATGTTAAATTTCACCGATCTAAATTATGAAAATAATATTTCTAACTTTTTTCTATCATCCTTCAAAATTTCTCGAATTTCATTCGATCTGATTATCTGAATTCTCATCGAAATTTATTGTTTTATAGCTTTTAATACAAATTCCGAATCAAAATTATGATTCTCACGAAAACATCAATTTCATAATAAACTATTCATGGGCCAAAATATAGAACTTTTAAAAAATACATTTTTGGTCCCTAAACTTTTACAAAGTTTATACTTTGGTCGCTAAACTTTCAAAACTTACATTTGGTCACTAGCCAAAATTTCAGGTATTACACATTATTTCTATTTCCAACAACTTGTATTTGACAGTCACTCACCCATCCAAGTAGCAAAGCTGCATAATATGATTATTGACTTTTCATGCCCTAGAATTTCTTTGTACAACTATTGTCATACTTTTCAATGTAGGTGCATGTCTGTTTGAATGGTCTTAATTTTGAAAGTTTTCCTTGTAGGCACACATGATGTAGATGTCACAACTTCATACATGTGGGCATGCACCAAATCCCTTACTGTAGGCTTACAAGTAGAGATGTTTATCGAGCGAGTTGATCACGAGTTAAATAGTTTGATTCAATTTGAAAACTATTTGACTTATACTTTATTCGACTCAATATTTGATAAGTTTGATAAAATTTTCTCGACTCTTGTTCGTTAAAAAACTCATTACTAGTTAAGATTGTAAAAAAAAAATTACCTTTCTTCCCCTAATATATGTATTATCTAATAATACTTCATAAAGCTTAATATAAACATAATTTAATAAATTAACAAAAAATAATAATTCCAAAATCTAAACTCTAAAGTAACAATCCACAAATAAACTAAACTAACATATTACAACCATTCTTAAAAAGAAAAAATTTTAAACAATACGTAATTGATCCTAAAAATAAAGCAATTAATATCTAAAAAAATAAACTAGCTACTCGCAATTTATCGAGTCGAGTTATACATTGTTCGACTCGTTAATCTCTCAAGTTGAGCTAAAATTCGAATGAAATCAGTTAAAATCAAATATTGAATAAATTTTGATCGAATCAAATTTAAATCTCCGCTCTTTAAATTTACAAGATGCTTTTAAAGGTATCTCATTTTCTACTTCATCGTTCTATGACTCATGGTGTAGGAAGATAGTACCTTTTCTTTTTCATGGGTTTGGAACCATAGAAGAGAAATTAGCGTAGAGATATAGACTATTATAATGGTAAATAAAACCCAGTTCAGTTAAAAAAATTAATTCATTTCGAATTGAATTTTATATATCTTACTTGACTAAAGATTGTTTTTTTTTAAAATTGAATGATAAAATATGACCGATCAACTCGATTAATTTAATTAACTCGCATATTCATCTTTATTTCCTCTTACCCTAATTTCTCTATCATTTTAAGTTCATTCTTCATTAAAGATTTATATTTTTGCAATCTTTCCTTTAATATTTTAGCTTGCTCAGAGGCCTGACTCTTAGGGGACTATCCTGAGAGACCGCTAAAGGCTCCCAAATTTTATATTGATAATTGGGGTTTTTAATTTCTATATTTATAATTAGGGTTTTTATTTTTTAATTCTATAAAAGTTCTAATTTTTTATCACTCTTCCATCTCCCTTATTAATTTATATAATTTTGAATCAAAGTTAACCATATTTTTATCTATTTTCTAAATCTTATTTTCAATTTATCAAGTATTCTTTAACTTAAAGTCTTCTCTAATCATAATCTAATGATAAAACAATAGACAATTCTTTAATTTTTTATTTATTATTTAAAATAAAGTTTCATATCATACACACATTCAATATTATCTTATATTAAGACACAAATTATGGGATTACTTTAAACCTACCTGCATAGTTAATAAGACACAAATTATAGGACGGAGGGAGTATTAATTTATGTGACGACACGTGTAATATCCCAGTATGGCTTTATAAATTTAGTTGTGGAGTTTCAGTTATATAATGTTTATGTTCATATGTGTTCAACATTTTAAGTATCCTAGGCATGCTCCGAGTTTCGTTTGAGATTCATTTTCTTTTGTTGCAGTTCATGGGATTCAAGTCATGCATAGATATAAACCATACAATGGATGTTGCCTTTGTTTTATTGGGTTGTTTTTTTGCTCTTTGTTCATGTCTTTTCTCGTCCCATCTTTTCTTCAAAATTGTCAAAAGCCGGCATTTCTTGTGATTTTCTCCTCCTCTGTAAGCGATTTTTCCTATGTCTTCGTTTGACCTACCAAATAATATAATCTTCCAGATATATATAGCTCTCATTAAAGAAAAAACACATATATATAGCTCTCAATTAAAATCAAACTTTCATATATAATCCAAATTTTAAGTGTATAATTATACTAAATTCAATGAATTTTAGCTTTGTTTTTGTCTCAGTTCGTCTATAAATTCACCATAATTCTAAACAACCGAACCATTACTCCTCTCTTCTTCTTCTCCTCCTTATTCACCAAACAATGGCAGCCATTGTTTCAATTTTCACCTTTGTTTTCGCCATTGTTAGTGTCTCTAATCTTTGCCTTATTCAAGCTCAGAACAGTGGTTTCAGCATTGAATTCATCCACCGTGATTCACCAAAGTCTCCCTTATACAATCATTTAGACACCACGTATAACCGTGTAACCAATGCCTTGCGCCGTTCCTTCGGTCGTGTTCATCGTCTGAAGCTGACTACTGCATCGAAACTGGAAGCTCAAGCCAATGTTATTGCAGATTCGGGTGAATACCTCCTGAATATATCGATCGGAACTCCGGCGTTTGATATTGTTGCCATTGCTGATACCGGGAGTGATCTCATTTGGACTCAATGCAAGCCTTGTTCTCAGTGTTTCGAGCAAAACGCCCCTCTTTTCGACCCCACTGCATCATCTACATATAAAACGATTTCTTGCAGCACAAGTCAATGTGCAAACCTTGAAGGATCGTCTTGTTCGAGTAACAATTCTTGCCAGTATTCAGTCTCTTATGGTGATGGATCTTTCTCAGATGGTGATCTTGCGGCTGATACACTCACACTTGGTTCAACCTCGGATCTTCGTGTTGTCATTCCCAATGTTGTTATTGGATGTGGACACCATAACGGTGGAACTTTCGATGAGAACGACATGGGAATCATTGGCCTTGGAGGCGGTGAAGTTTCGTTGATTTCCCAATTGGGAACTAGCATTGCCGGAAAATTCTCCTACTGCTTGTTGCCTCTTACCGATGCCGGAAATTCGAGCAAGATGAACTTCGGTTCGGATGCCATTGTCTCCGGAAACGGAACTGTTTCTACTCCATTGACAAAACTTGACCCTCCAACTTTCTACTTCCTTACCCTTGAAGCAATCAGTGTCGGAAACAACAGAATAAACTTCACGAGTAAGCCTTTCGGAACAGATGAAGGAAACATCATTATCGATTCCGGAACAACAATGACACTTTTACCGGACGATTTTTACTCCCAACTCGAATCATCGGTGTCTAGCATGATCAATGCGACAAAGGTTAAAGGTCCCGAGGGTCTGAACTTATGTTACGACGCTACAACTGATTTTGCAGTGCCAGATATTACAGTTCATTTCATAGGGGCAGATGTAAAATTGCAGGCATTGAACACCTTCGCCATGGTCTCGGAAACAACTGCTTGCTTTACTTTCGCTCCGATTCCGGATTTCGCAATCTACGGTAACTTGGCTCAGATGAATTTCTTGGTTGGATATGATACTGAAAAGAAGACCGTGTCGTTTAAGCCCACCGATTGCTCCAAGAATTAGCCTCACCATTGTTTTCTGCAACGTTTTAGTATGATTTGTTTTATTTTATGTTGAAAACGGAATAATTATTGCTTTCGTGTTATGTTATCTAAAAAGAATTATTGTCGTCTAATAACAACATACATGCCATGATCTTATTAACAGTTTTCTTTTTAATTATAAACTTGAAAGGAAATGGTAGTTCAAGGGAAAAATCAATGAGATAATGCTCTCAATTTTTTTTTCACAAAATAATGATCTCGTCAGATTAATTACTGAGATAGGGTGATCTCTACAGTCCCCATGTAGGTCGCCAGGTGCTCCGGGCGATGTAGGTGTTGTGTTGATGTTAAGGTCGCCATGCACACCGTTAGGTAGGTCGCCATGCACTCCCAGCGACATGTAGGTCGCCATGCATGCCCGTTCTAGGTAGATTTCAATTCGCATAGTTGATTCTTTCACATTTCTTTTGTTTTCTTTCGCAGGGTGATAACTGTGAATATGCACATTTGTCATGACAATGTGGTTCCAGATTTGCTGATTGGCTGGATGGAACAATTGTACAAGTACCAGGATTAATTGATTACCTAAAAGCAAACTTGGCCCCTCTGGTAGAATAAAATAATGAGCAGAACAAACATATTTCTGCTGGGAGTTGGTTTCCAAAGACCACCGCAGTGGGAGTGCATGGCGACCTCCCGTATGCAGAACGGCGTGCATGGCGACCTTGACATCAACACACCTACGTCGCCCGGAGCATCTGGCGATCTGCATGGGTAGAGTTCACCCTATCTCAACAATTAATCTGACGGGAACATTATTTCGTGAAAAAAAATTGAGAGCATTATCTCGTTGATTTTGCCGTAGTTCAAGTATCAAAGCGGAACAAAAGAAAATAAGAATCAAAGCGAATAAAATGAGTATAGTTTAAGATTAAATCATAAATTAATTCATCTGGAATATCACTTTTTATACATCTCCTAATCCTAAACCCTTGAGTAAGGTCTAAGATCCTAACCTTGTTGAGGGAAAAACAATGTTGGAAGAATTTGCCCATAATTTAGGGTTTGACATGAAGACGTTGTTAATGAAAATTGTTAGAAGATAAAATCAAACATAATGATTATACAATAAAATAGACACTAATATATTATTTCATAGGTAAAAGAGGAGAATTTTCATTAATATGAAAAAAATACAAGAGAATTTAGAGAAGTAATTTCTCACCTAATCTTAATCTATAGTATCTATTTATATAGATAGTTACTTGATTATAAAATAAACTTGCATAACAAGAAATCTTCTCAAACTATATTTCTTACCCCCAATCAACATAAAATAGAATAAACTTCATGTTTTCAATCAAATTAGGTTTCCTACTATCCTCAATCAATTTGAGTCAGATCAAACTCGGTCAAAATTCAAAAATCTTCACCTTGACATGAATTTTAAAAATGTTACAAAGATGTTTGAAACAAAATCTCAAATTTGATGAAACACACAAACTTAACCAAAAAAAAGTTCTTCATAACATCGAACAAAGTCTTCACTTTGAGAACGTATTATCCACTTCTTCCACGAAATTCCTTAAAGGAATATTCTTTAATAATGATTGTCAAATAAATTCAAGCCTTGCTCAAGCTTGGATGTATAAGATAACTTAGTCTTCACATAGATATGGCTATCAAAAGTGTCAACTTTGCTTATAACTGTATCACCACGAGAAATATCATACACAACACGATTTCGATCATTAATGACAATTTTATCTTTTTTGTTGTTAATCCATGTGACAAATTAGCCTCTCTTTTTCAAAAGCATTGCATCTTGTTTTTAAAATTGATGCAATGTTTGTCTATTGAAATCAATAACAAAGCTTTCACATAAATGTCCGAGGGTGGTTGTTATTGGTCTTGGTAAACCGACATCCTCTTCATAACCTTGCATACATAATGATTTTTAAATTAAATAAAAACTCAAATTTTCCAATTTTTAAATATAGGGTAATCAACTAGGTGTCAATTTCTAGGCGTTGTGGTGGTGCTAATCATTTCCCAAGCGTAATTAACTCCTGAATCTGATTTCTTATTTTCACAGATAAAATTTGGTATTTTTGATAAAATAAAATATTTTATTAAAATTACCCGATTTTTAGATGTTCCAATCTCACCTTAAAAATGATTGGTGACGACTCCCAACATTTCATAATCTTTTCAAAGGAAAAACCTCAATCGTTGGAACTAGTTGACTTTTTCTCGAGAACACTAGTTGCGACATCCAAGAATTAGCCTCACCATTGTTTTCTGCAACGTTTTAGTATGATTTGTTTTATCTTATGTTGAATACGGAATAATTATTGCTTTCGTCTTATGTTATCTAAAAAGAATTATAGTCGTCTAATAACAACATACTTGCCATGATCTTATTAACAGTTTTCTTTTTAATTATAAACTTGAAAGGAAATGGTAGTTCAAGTATCAAAGCGGTACAAAAGAAAATAAGAATCAAAGTGAATAAAACGAGTATAGTTTAAGATTAAATCATAAATTAATTCATTTGGAATATCACTTTTATACATCTCCTAATCCTAAATCCTTGAGTAAGGTCTAAGATCCTAACCTTGTTGAGGGAAAAACTGTCACACCCAAATTTAGGGGTAAAATTATAGGTTATTGAAACTTTTGGATAATTTTAGAAAGTACAGAAAATTCAGGGCTTAGACTTGAATTTGCCTATTTTTTATTACCCAGTTAAAATTTCTCCCCCCGATTGGTAGGAACCAAAATCCCCAAATTCCCCCCTAAATCCCTAGCCCCTTTCCCCTTGCTGATTTTATTTCCCGCTTCAATTCGCCGCCGTCCGACCGTCGTCAGTGTGCATGGTTTCCATCAATCGAACCGGCGACCCGTCCCGACCAAACCCCGACTGTTATCAACTTGATATCGACCGTCGTTCGCTAGAAATCAAACCTAGAAATCTTTGAAGAAACCCAAGTTGGCCGCCTTTCACTTTGATTATTCCGGCCGTCAGTGAGTCTCACCGCCCTTCCCATTGTGTTCTCCGATCAATTCTGCTCAAAAACTGACTGGTGGGTCGAAGCATTGCCGCCGTTTTCACCGACCGCCGGAGTGGGTAAGTATTTCGAATATTTTCTTCTATTTCTGATAGATGTTTGGATGTTGTTGGATTGATTTTGTAAAGTTCTTGAGAAGGGTGAAATCGACCTTTCGAAACTAGCTCTGTCGTCGTCGCACGCGCTACCACGCGCCGGTGGTGCGCGTGGGCCTCGTTCCCCCGTTTTGGTTTCTTCTAGAACCGTCCAGCCGGTCTGGACCGGTCTAACCCGAACTGCCTGATCCAACCCGACCAGTCTGCCCGGTCCAGTCACCAAGTCAACTCGGTCTGAGTCAACTCGTCCGAGTCAACCCGTTGACTTTGACCTTGACCAAAAAGTCAACTTTTTTGAAAAGGCCCTATTTTATGTTTTTCGACGTCCTGAGTCCGAATCTGAAGTCCGTTTTGCCAAATTCGCACTCAGTAAGTTTTTTTTTCTGATGTTTTACATTCGAAATTCAATATGGTTTCTCAATTGAGTTCAGTTTCTGACGTAAATTCGGTTGCTTTGTATCCGAGGAAATATGGGACGTTAAATTCAAGTTTGAAGGTGATCGAATGGAATTAAATTGGTCGATCAGTATGGCATTAAAACTAAGGTAATACTCTATTACCTTTTGTATGCTTCTCGGACTCATTGATGGATGGTAATTGCATGAACGAAATTGATTGATACATTAGATGTAATTAATTATAAGTGGACTCAGACGTAACATTGTAATAAGACAGAAAATGTTATAAAACTCAGACGGCCCGATAAAGAGAAATTAGAAAACTAATTGAAAATAATTATAAGTTTAGTGATCCAATAATAAATGAATCGGTTTCAAGATACATGAAGTTTGATAAATTCTCTTAAAAGGATAAATATCAGGTTTAACTAAATATGAAATTACCAAAAAGAGCACTATGCGATAAAATTATGAAAATGCCCTTGTAATGGAGAAAAGACCAAGACTTCCACGGATGGTGGAAGATAACTTTGAAATGACATATTTAACTAATTATCTGAGGAACTGCAAATGATTGAATTTAAAGAAATTACTGAAATATCCTCGAGCTTTGTAATAACTATAATAGGAATAACCTTTAATGATTAAAGGATCAAAATACCCTGAACGCTAAAGGAACTATAATACATTCAAGCTTAGTTTATCGAAAAGTATGCCACTGACAGGTTTGAATAAAATGAGGATGATACGCTTAAGTGTTAAGCATAATGGATGGCTATGATAATGGAGACGATCTTTGAACGCATATCTTGATTTACTTGAACTTTGGAATTATCGAAATACATTTCAGATCTACTGGAATACCTCTGAAATGTAAAATAACCCAAGGAACGTCTAAGCACTATAATAAATAATACTTTCTACTCTGAAAAGAATAAATCAACCTCAAATACTAAATGACTTAGGACTAAGTGAGTAACTTGGATAAGTTCGGAAATGTCGATGAACTTACATGATGTACTGTCCCCATGGGTTTTGAACCACGAGTCAAGTATGTTGACATTTTCCTGATAGTGTTGTAATGTGTGAATGAAATAAAGACCATTGAAATCTCTATTCGTCTCCTTAAGATCTATTCAGCGATTATTATGAAGGTGATCAATGGACAATAATTTGTTGGTATTAAAGAGTGAATACCCTAGAAGGGTATTGAGTGGACCAGTCAGCATGCATTAGTTATGGGAGTTGTTCAACTTGAGTTATCTCAATAATCCAATTGATCGACATAAACTCTAAATGTCCTGAACCTTGATTTCTCTCTTATCAGTTCAAATCACTCCGGTTATATATGATTACACAAGTAACTCAAATGCAAAAGATTCTGAATACCCCATTGGTTCAATTGGACAAAAATATGTTAATTCAATGCATACTCCTAAATACCCCAGATTGTTTGAGTAATGGAATCACTCTCTATAAATCTGAATCTAGA